GCCCAGGGCTGGAGTGCAGTGGCGCGATCTCGGCTCACTGCAAACTCCGTCTCTCGGGTTCACGCCATTCTCCTGCCTCAGCCTCCCGAGTAGCTGGGACTATAGGCGTCCGCCACCACCCCCAGCTAATTTTTTGATATTTTTAGTAGAGACGGGGTTTCACCGTGTCAGCCAGGATGGTCTCGATCTCCTGACCTCGTGATCTGCCCACCTCGGCCTCCCAAAGTGCTGGGATTACAGGTGTAAGCCACCATGCCCGGCGAGTTGCCAGATTTTTTTTTTTTTTGAGACGGAGTTTCTCTCCTGTTGCCCAGCTTGGAGTGCAATGGCGTGATCTCGGCTCGGCTCACAGCAACCTCCTCCTCCCAGGTTCAAGTGATTCTTTTGCCTCAGCCTCCCGACTAGCTGGGATTACAGGCATGCATCACCATGCCCGGCTAATTTTGTGTTTTTAGTAGAGACAGGGTTTCTCCATGTTGGTCAGGCTGGTCTTGAACTCCCAACCTCAGGTGATCCGCCCACCTCAACCTCCCAAAGTGCTGGGATTACAAGCGTGAGCCACTGCGCCCGGCTCAAGCTGCCAGATTTTATCCCCTGCCTTTCTCCGTGGGCCAGAGAAAAAATGACAAAGTCTCTAGACTTTTTTAGGAGACCAGAGAAGACGGCTCATAACTGGGCAGGTCGTGGTTGATGCCGAAGCCCCCGGGTCCCACTGCCCGGCACTAGAGCAGCCCTCCCGCCTTACCATTGGGGATAAGGATGCCACCGACCATGGTTCCAAACACCACAGAGAGGGTAAGCGCTTTAAACCGGAGAGGGGGCATGTAGCCCCCTGCTGCAAAGGTGCCATCTTTTTGCTGTATAAAAGAGAAACGAAAAGGTTTGGAAAGGACTGATTTCCTCCACCGCTCTCCTAGAAAGCAAAGCCTGAAAGGGCTCTGCCAGGCACACCGGGCACATCTCCACGTGAGGCCAGCCGCGCGCTCACCTGGCAGGTGCACCAGGCACATCTCCACGTGAGGGAAGCCGCGCACTCACCTGCCAGGCACACCGGGCACATCTCCACGTGAGGCCAGCCGCGCGCTCACCTGCCAGGCACACCGGGCACATCTCCACGTGAGGCCAGCCGCGCGCTCACCTGGCAGGTGAGCCTGACCAGCACAATCAGATCTGGCTGAGCAACTTGAACGGGAACCTGCAACCCAAACCTGCAACACGCCAGGAAGGCACGAGGGCTTCTCACCCCAGGCACAGACCATAAACTTTACAACGTCCTTTTGAAATGTGAGTACCGAGTCCTTCCGTTTTCCTTTTTGCTTTTAGAGCAATACCATGAGAGAGTTTTTTAAGTGCCAGGAAGTATGGAGAGCAGAATACAGGCTGCACAGCGCCGCTCCTGCCATGTGTCTCTAGGCCTCTCCTGGCCCGCAGGTTTCAGG